AGCCAACTACAGAGTCAAGCCTGTAGTCCCAGCTACTTGGAGGAGACTGAGGCAAGAGAATTGCTTGAGCCCAAGAGTTTGAGGTTGCTATGAGACTGTGACACCATGGCACTCTACAGAGGGCGACATAATGAGACTCTGTCTCAAAAAAAAAAAAAAGAGAAATCTAATTTTTAATAAATGAACCCTTAAAAGCATGGGAAGCTAGGTGTGGCTTGCACACCACATATGGGCAGGTACTCACTTTGGTGTGTAATGGACAGTAGGGGAGTGGCTTAAAGTCGAGGTGCCTGGTTTAAGGATGGGACACAGTCGATGTTGAAGAGAAGATCCTCTGTTTGGGCTTTAGGACCATCTCATCAAAATGCAGAAGCAGAAACTGCAGCTGCCTCCGCAGCCCCCACCGCCACAGGCCCAGCCAGGGCCCCCGCAGCCAACAGCGCAGGTGCAAGTGCAGCCCCCGCAGCCCCCGCAGCAGCAGAGCCCCCAGCTCACCACGGTCACAGCCCCACGGCCCGGAGCCCTGCTCACGGGCACCACCGTAGCCAACCTCCAAGTGGCCCGGCTTGTAAGTTCCCATTTATACATTTGTTTTCCAAAAGCAAAGTCTCTTTACGTCTTAATTGAACTGTTACTGCTTGCCCAGGAGCATGTGAGGTGTCATGGCCAACTAATAAGTGAAGCATGGAGACTAGCCATGGTGGCTTACACCTTACATCCCAGGAATTTGGGAGGCTGAGGCACTGAGGCAGAAGCATTACTTGAGGTCCGGAGTTCACGTGACCAGCCTGAGCAACATAGTGTGACTCGACCTCTATAAAAAAAACACAAAAGCACAAGCCAGGCGTGGACTACACTCCTATAGTCCCAGCTACTTGGGAGGCTGAAGCAGGAGGATTGCTTGAGTCAAGCAGTTTGAGGTTGCTGTGAGCTATGATGCTACGGCACTCAACCCAGAGTGACAGAATGAGACTCTGTCTCAAAAGTAAATAAATAAAAGGAATAGACCTTGTTTTAGGAATGTTAGAAGAAATTAAATATCTATTACCAAGAAGTTCATTAAATAAATTATAGAGCCAACAATGAATCTTAAGCAACTTTGGGAAGTGATTATTGTAAAAGGAAGACAAAATATAGTTTATCCCATTTTTACATTTTTTTATGGCAAGCCACACAGAGGTGAATGATGGCCAAAAGCTAAATAACAGTTTTAATGTTCATATATAGGGTCACTCCAGGGGTATGGTTGATTTTTAATTTCCTCTTTCTGTTTTCTTAGGTAATCTCAGTTTCTTTGTATATAACAATAGACCTATTTTCATTTCCCTTTTAAAAAAATGTAATTTAAGAAAAAAATCCTTGGCAGTCGTGTCCTCAATAAGTAGGAGGTAGCACCATCCCTTGGGGGACTTGCAGACAGGAATTTGGGCAGTAGTTTTGGCGGGAGGGTAGCTCTCCTGTGGAGGTTGAGGGGATAGCCAGGAGCCTCTGTAGGAAGCAGGATGGGATCTGCTCTCTGAAGAGGCACATCTCTGACACTCCCATCTGAGCATCTGAGCCAGTGGCAGCACCATGCACTCACCTGCAGGTCTTGCTCTCACTCCGCCTGGTCGTTGGTGGCAGGTTCAGTCATGAGTTAGTCTGCAACCTGTCCCTGTTGCGTGGTGGTGGCCCAGACTGCACATCACTCACTTCCCTCTAGTCCCATGCCTCTTTTGATTTTGTTAATCTTTGTAAATTTTCTCATGGCTTGACCTTGTGGAGAAATGTTTGGAAAAACATACAATATCCTGAATTTCTCTGGACTCTCCATTATTTCTGTTGTTTAGACCCGGGTTCCCACTTCTCAGCTGCAGGCGCAAGGGCAGATGCAATCCCAGGCACCCCAGCCTGCACAGGTGGCCTTGGCAAAGCCTCCCGTCGTGTCTGTCCCGGCAGCTGTGGTCTCCTCACCGGGGGTCACAACCCTACCCATGAACGTCGCGGGGATCAGCGTGGCCATTGGGCAGCCACAGAAAACAGCAGGTGCCTGTCCCCCTACCTCATCACATCCTCGTGAGCTTCTCAGCCCCACCTTGTGCATGTATTCCATGTCATCATGTATTTCCCAAGTTTCTAGGGTTTCTAAGTACATGTTTTGGTCCTAAAGTTAGCCATTAAAATTCAGAAATTTCCATATTTTTATTTAAATGTAATTTTTGAACCCAGAAACCTCATTAGGTATATTTGAGGTGGGTTTGGCTCTATATAATTCATACTTGATAGTTTCTATACAGAGGTGAGTCCTTCTAAATAGACCTAGTATGAGCCATGGGCTCCTTTCCTGCATGGAGCTAGTGACTGATGCTGCCTTGGTGTCCGCAGGGCAGACGGTGGTGGCCCAGCCTGTGCACGTGCAGCAGCTCCTGAAGCTAAAGCAGCAGGCCGTCCAGCAGCAGAAGGCCATCCAGCCACAGGTCGCCCAGGGCCCGACGGCTGTGCAGCAGAAGGTACAGGGATCTCCACAGACCCCATGGTGTGCACTCAGGTTTCTGAGTGTGGCTTCAAGGCATACTTACCGATATGGTCGTTGTCGTTAGTTTTTTTGCTTCCTTTTAAAATTTGATACCACAGTCTGAGAACAAGGCCTGGAAGATCTGGTGTTGAGAGGTTGAGTGGGCACAGGTGGGTCGCCTGCCTGGACCTTTGGTGAACAGAGGTTAGGATTGCAGGCCTCGGTCCAAAGGGCTCAGGGGAGCAGATGCAGCCCATGGTGAACCTTGAACTGGACTCCTAATCAAGGGATGGGAATGCTGCTCATCTGTCTCCAAACGAAGAGCCTGACAGAGAATAGCCGATGCCTGTGTGTGGAAGGCGGGGGGGAAGGTGGTAGTTTGCAGGGATAAGGGCCTGGCAAAGGCAGCTGGTGCAGAGGGTACTATAGACAGCTCACATCCCTGCTGAGATGTCAGGTCCACTCAGAGCTAGTTCTGCATTTAGGGGCATGAGGGAGGTGCTGCTGTGCCAAGTCTCTGCCTCTAGGACTTCCCCTTGTGATACCTGTCTTGTCGTGTCCAGCCCTGGACTCGGTTAGCTCCAGATGGTTGAGTGTCAGCCCTCTTGCTGTGGGCACAACTGTACTGCTTTCTGGGCTGGCACTGGAGTGTGGGTTCTGATACAGCCATGGCAGTCAGTGTGGTGCCAGCTGCCCTTGCTGTTCCCTCCCTATGGGGGGAGCACCAAGAGGACATGATCCTGGGAGGGGCAGGATTGTTAGGAGCCAGAGGACAGATGTGCTTACGGTCATGCCACCAGCTCCACCAGGGCTGCCTGTGTCTCGTAAACATGTTGTTTTCCTCATTCGGGACAGTGGCTGCCTCAGGGAAGCATGTGCCCTTTAGGTCAAGGACATTGTCCCTGTTTACCTTTGGGGGCATCCTCTCCTGTGTGGACGGGCCTGTGAAAGGAAGCAGTGCCCAGGTCACCTCTCTAGTTCTTTCAGCAGCCCCAGGGCTTGAGAACTGCACAGATGGTCAGGCCTATGGGCTTGGGCTGTGGAGATATGTGTCCAGAGAGCTAATCTGTGCTTTCACAGGACTAGAAGGAAAACTTTTTAGACTTTAAAAAATCTCATTTTTATATAGCTATGGCTTATAAAATAGATGCATGAACCACATGTGTGCCTGGCCTTCTAGCATAGCACCCACTTCAGTTTTCCTGGTAGAGAAAACTAGAAATTAGATTTAATAACAAACATTGTGCATATTGGTTTGTTAACCCTTATGTTAAATATTTCCTGGTGTCTGCCAAATTCTTTAATCAGATTTGAGAGATTGTGACCCAGTTTGGTTGTCTACTGAGCAGACCCACCCAGGTGCTGAGAAGGGCATTAGGATAAACCCCATACCCTGGCATGATGAGGGAACTCTCTAAGGAGCTAGTCAAGGGGAGCCCCAGTATGTGAAGGCTACAGTGCTATCCTGGAGGCCTGCGTACAGGTTCTGGGGTTCCCCACCCTGAGGGGTTTTGAACTGGGCACGATTGTTACCTGGCTCTAACCCTTGGCTTCTCTTTTCCTCAGATAACTGCACAGCAGATTGCTGCTCAGGGCCCTCAGCAGAAGGTCACCTATGCCACCCAGCCAGCCCTTAAAACTCAATTTCTAACCACACCCATCTCCCAGGCCCAGAAACTGGCAGGAACACAGCAAGTGCAGACCCAAATCCAGGTGAGCACAGCATGGTTGGAGTGAAGGGGAATCAGGTGTTACAAGGTGGGATATAGCACGTGAGGGGCAGGAGCGAGCCTTGAAAAATGACAAAACTGCTGTGTACACTGCCCAGGCTGAGAATGCCCATCTCCATCGAGGTGGCTGGGATCCCCTGGCTTTCCTTGCAGTTTTACCATCACATACCACTGCATGGCAGATGTCCAGCTCAACTAGGTGTTAGGAAAGTCTTAAGATAAGACTGTGTAGTGTGTGCCAAGTGGCCTCTCTTTGGGAATGTGCTTTGGAGAACCATCTGGGGCTTCATACATTCCATTGCTAAGTGAGTGACACCTCTGAGCAGTGGGTGCTGTTTACCTCTCTCAGTGCAGGGGTGCAGGAGTGTATGGGGTACAAGTGCATGTTCAGTGGTTTTCCGGGTGCTTGTTAGAGTGCTCTGGTTTGGGGTCTCCCCCTGGTGTGCATTTGTGCTTCTCTAGTAACTGAGACATTCTGTCTTCCCCTATTTTTGACCACCTAGTGTCCTCTTCTGTTAAGTTCCTATTCAAGTCTGCTACTGATTTTGTTTCTACCTCCTAGATGTCTTCAGCTGGGGAGCTGTGATGAGCTGTGGCTCATCCTCTCACTTGATGGTACCTTTTGATGAATGGAATTTCTTGATTTTCTTAATATGTCAGTCTTTTCATTTCTGGATAGAGCTTTTTATGTCTTGCTTAAGAGATCCTTCCCAAAGGTTACAGAGTTAGCTTCTTGTATCTTCTTAAAAGCTTTTAAATTTTACTTTCTCATTTAGGTCTTTAGATCTCTTGGAATTGGTTTTTGCATATGATATAAAAATAGGAATTCAATTTAATTTGCCATATGAATAACCTGTTGTTTTAAACCCTGTTAAAAGTCCATTCTTTCCTCCAGTGATCACATGGGTTCTGTTTGGGGCTCTGTGTCAGCCCCGCCATCTCTGTGTTGTGCTAGTCTGTGCCACCACATCCTAACCACCCTGGCATGGCAGCCACACCTGGTCCTGGGAGGCATGTACCCCACCAACCCCTTCTGCAGGGATGTCTTGGCTGATCTTGTCTTTGCACATTCATGTTAATTTTAGGGTCAGCTCACTGAGTTTATACACAACAGTTGAAATTGTTGGAGTTTTTATTAGAATTTATTTATTCTGTACATCAGTTTGGGGAGAGCTCATATCTTTACAGTCTTGGCATTGGATTTTCCAGCATGATACATCTTGTGTTACTTGAATCTTTAATGCCTTTTTTGTTGAGACAGAGTCTCACTCTGTTGCCTAGGCTAGAGTGTTGTGGCCTCAGCCTAGCTCACAGCAACCTCAAACTCTTGACTTCAAGCAATCCACCTGTCTCAACCTCCCGAGTAACTGGGACTACAGGTGCTCACCATGACACCTAGCTAATTTTTCTATTTTTAGCAGAAATGGGGTCTCACTCTGGCTGGTCTTGAACTCCTGAACTCAAGCAGTCCACTTGCCTAAGCTTCCCAGAATGTTAGGATTATAGGCATGAGTCACAGTACCTGGCCTTTTAATGTCTTTTGATTAAGCTTTCTAATTTTTTCTGTAAAAGTCTTGTAGATTGTGTTAAATTTATGTTTATGTAATCAGTGTTTTCTAATGCTTTTGTAAATAGTAAATTTTAACTTTCCATTTTCTGTCTGTAGTGGTTGTACGTTTTTGCACATTGATTTTTTAAATTTTTGGTAACCTTGAGATTCTTGCTTGAATAGTTTACCTGTAGGGTGTTTTTTGTTTTTGTTTTTTTTTTTTGCATTTTCTTCATATGCAGTCATGTCACCTGCAAATGATGGCAGAGTGCTTCTTTAGTTTTCATCCTCATAACTTTTCTCTTTCTTGCCTCATTGTGTTGTCTGGGACCCTCTGTGCAATGATGCGTAGAAGTGGTCAGACAATGCTTAATTACATCCCTGTGAAGTGTGATGTTTGCTCTAAGTGTTTTTGTTTTAATCACCCTTCATTAGAATAAGAAAATTCTGTTCTAGTTTGCTAGAAGTTTTTGTTTATTTTTGTTGTGGTGTTTTTTTGTCTTGTTTAGAAGACATCTGTGCATACTCCCTCACTTTCTTCCTGGCTGTCTCCTTCAGCCCTGAGACTTTAGAGCCTGCATAGGGGTTAATGGTGCCCAAATTCACATCTGTAGCTGGTCACTGTCCCAAATCTCAGGTTTTTAATCCTAGCCGCATGAGGACAGTTCCATGGAGAGGTCTGATCCCTCAGGCCTCAGGTGTGCACACCTAAACTGCTTCTGAAGTCTTCCTGCTTAGGTAAGGGAGCTTAGTCTCCGCAGACCATTGGCCTTTCTTGGGAACTCTGTCTCACACTCCAGCCCATTGGCAATTCTGTAGGCTTAGCTTCCAGAATACTTCCTGTTGCCACTGCCAGCACCTCACCCACTCCCCTTCCCCTGGGTGTTGCTGTCCCTCTCTTCTTCTTCCAGTACCCACCCCCCAGCACACTCCACTGCTCTCTCTCATCTGCATACCGCCTGCTCAGTGCTTTGTGCTCAGGGAGGCTTCTCAGCTGTCCTCTAAGCCTCATTCCTAGACCCCTTCCTGCTCTCTTTGTTTCCATAATGTCACCTTCAGCAAACACTGTATATTTGTTTACTTTGTTTAGGTGTTACTACCTCCTCCTCCCTAAAGCACACTATGGGCTCAGGGATGCCCAGTGGCTGGCAGCGTGGTGGATATGTGGAGTGTGAATTTCATCTGGGGTTTTCTCCAGGTCCTATGGGTGTTGTGAATGGGTCACCGTAATGGAACTTCCCAGTGCTGACTCACTCTTGCGTTTAGGGTGGCTACTGGCCCTTGGTGCTTGTCCTTCCCGTGCTCTGGTGAGCTTAGCTTACTGGTATTCTGCTCGCTTACATCCTGGTTCCTGGCTATGCTGCCTCTCACTTTATTCCTGTGTGATGCTTCCCTTATTGGGAGTTTTTACTTCTTTCCTTTCACTTTTGAGTTTAGTTTGCTGTCTTTTTTCTAACTTAAGATGGAGTACCAATTGACCTCATTGCATAATATTTCTTACTTGGTTTTCCTTCAGTCCTAAATATTTTTGAATTTCCATTTTGATATTTTTTTTTGCTGCCTGGGTTTTTATTAGAAGTCCTTATTAATTTCCAGGTGAGGTTTTATAGTTATCTTTTATTACTGACTTTTGAAAAGTCATCACTGTATTTATTGTCAGAGGATGAGGTCTGAACAATTTCAGTCTTTGTGTTTTGAAACTTGCCTTATGATCCAAGTTTAAATCAGTTTTTATAAATGTTCTGTGTCCTTCCAAAGCAGTCTGCAGTGAAAGGATTATTTCATTATGATGGAGTCAAATCTATTATTTGTGTTATTTTACTATGTTACTAGTTACTGGGAGAGGTGTCTTTAAATCTTCCAGTGTGATTATGCATCTGTTTCTTCTTACACTTCTTTCTAGTTTAGTTTATACGGAGGGTGCCAAAAAATTGTGTACACATTTTGAGTGATGTTATCAATATATTACTTTTCATAGTTGATTTGACAGATCACTTAAATGTGTATACATATTTTTGGATTAGCTACGTGTAAGTTTACATTTTTGAATTTTGTTATTTTGAAGCAACCTTCATTATCTTCACTGACATCTTTGTTGTGTAGCCTATTATGAAAGTTCCACCCATCTTCTGTTAGAATTTTCAGGTATGGGCCCGGCGCCTCTGGCTCAAGTGGCTAAGGTGCCAGCCACATACACCTAAGGTGG